CTTCCTTTGCCAAGACACGTCCTCAATTCCTCAAATTTTTGCTTTCTGCAAAACACCACTTTAGCTTAGCCATGAAAGTCTCTGACAGAAAGACGGATGCAACATCATCATTCACTTGTTTCGTTCAAGACTATCAATCGACCAAAACCATATCTAACGGCATGCAAAGTATCAATTTTTGAGTGCTCTTAATTACAACCTAAAACCCACCAAGGTCACTCAAAGAATCTCTCTTTCTATTAGAACAACTGCGAGCTTAGCTAAACAAACCTTTTGCAGGAAACATCTCATGAGAAGCAAACAAAAACCCACAACATGACAATAATATCAAACCTCATAAGAAGATCTCTCTCTTAAACCGAATTAGACTTGCAATGTTACAAAATTATCATTTAAAAACCCACAATTGAGATAGTAAACAGTATTCTAAAGGAAACTAACACCTAAGAACTTGTCAAAACTCTTAAAAAATCCATCTTTTACTACTCATTCCCTTGACTCTTTCCTTCAAGACTATCAGTCGACCAAAACCAAATCTAACCGCATGCAAAGTATCAATTTTTGAGTGTACGAAATTACAACCTAAAAACCCAGCAAAGGTCACTCAAATATTCTCTCTTTCGAGATGAGCATAGAACTACTTTGCAAATCTAAAGAAATTGAAACCAAAAACCACCCAGTTATCAGATTATTTTAAGCAGATAGAGCAAAAACCTGACCGCAGATCTTGATGGGAGGTTCCAATTCGAGAAGATTTGGTTGTTGGAGAAAGATTTCTTTGGAGAGATCACAGAGCTGACGGATTTCACTTTCGCTGCTGAGATGAACTTGCTTCCCCGATCCAGGCGTCGTGTTCCGAAACTCCAACGACCGGCGAATTATATCGTCCAGAACCGCCAGCTCCTCCGCTGCTACTGCTACTCTGCTAAAGAAACACAAACACATAACATTAAACCAAAAAGCTCGCTGGAGAAGGAACACATAACAAGTGTTTGAAATTTGATTCGATTATCACTTTGGTGAAACAGAGTCTGGATTTGAGCAGAGAGAAGCTCGCTGGAGAAATCATCGGTGAGGAAGGGGTAGAAGAAGGAACGCTGAGAAAAGAGAAAGTACTTTTGTTTCTTTTGGCGTTGTAAGATAAAAGTAAAACGCAGTCGTTATCGAAGAGATGACCTGTTAACAAATATCATTAGAAAAGCTGATTGTTATTATTTAGAATGTTCTGATTGGCTGTTCGATTTTAATGATGTGTCAGTTCCAGAACACCTAAAAAAACTTAGCTGTCAACTCCTAGGGAGGCACATGGGTTTTTGCTGTGTTGATTTTTATATTATTCTATTACTAATCATAATATGCTAAGCTTTGAATTTAATCTGGTGGCTCTAAGTTTATGAGGTTATACTTTTTCATATGTTATACGTCTAAAAAAAATAAAAAATAAAATAAAAAGAAAAAAATATATGTAAATTTTTGGGTTTGGCTTATAAGTTAATCGGAAATTGGTGATGTAAAACTGTGTGGCGTCTTATGAGTATATCTTCGGTGAAGCAAGGCAGAGGGTCAGCTCGGTTGTGAATCATGTAACAACTGAGATAACCATTGTGAGCATTAATCCGTAGGAAGATGAACTTCGATTGATATAGCTTATTAGTCTGTTAATAACTTTTTAAATAAAGCTAAATATATATTATTACAAATTAAATATTTCTTCATTTTATCTCTATTTTATATTACAATTTTCTTTAACTTTTAACATCAAATTATCACATATGTAACTGATAATCAAGGAATGAGGGGGAGTAAAAAAAAGTCTTTCATTCCCTAAGAATTACACAGTTTAATTATAAGTAATATGTATTTCATATTATTTCTTCTCATCCATATTGATTAAGAAATTGTGGTGTTAAAATATTCCTTAAAAATATGAGAAGAAATGAGTTCTTCTTATGTTATTCAATTATTCTTCTTCATTCTTTTCCTTTTCATATTTTTGTTTCTTTTACGGTCACCAATTACCAATTAGAGCATAAATACTTTATATTAATGACATAATTTGTTTGTGTATTTTTCTTAGTTTTAAATTAAGAATATATGTAACAAAATATAAATATACATATATTTAATAATTTTTTAAAATATAATTAAATATTTTTGTGCTGATATGAATGTCCCATTATATAAGCTGTTTTGGAGAAAAAAAGTTGTTTCAAAATATAAGCAGTTTTCTTATTTCTAGATATTATGTGACAAATTAAATTTTGTATTTTTTATTATAATTAGTTTATTTATATTTAAAATACTTGCATGCATACACATATGCACTGAATCTGCAGTGATGTGGCTATCTAGTTACAATAGCTCAGAAAACTTGAATATCATTTATAAATGCACAATGAGACAAGTAGATTAATCTTTTAAGGGAAATTTGGTGGGGAGGTGGGTTTTTTGTTTGGAATTAACGTTTCTTTACATACAGTGATACAGATCATTCTGCATTTTTAACATTCTAGATAATCTAGACAAACTTCGAATTGGTTCCTTAACATAAAAAAGGAAGTAAAAAATAAGGTGGTTTCGTTGTCAAAAAAAAAGAAAAAAAATGTGGCTATCAGAATTTTCATTGATTACCAAAATCTACATAACTAATAAGGCTTGGACAATCTCCAGCCTTTGACACGTGGCACTCTCTTTTTTTTTTTTTTTTTCGCCTAACACCAAAACGACGTCGTTTTGGCTTTATTTTTTTTTTTTTTTTTCGTCTTACACCAAAACGACGTCGTTTTGCGCTTTTTTTTTTCGTCTTACACCAAAACGACGTCGTTTTCGTATTAAAAAAAAAAAAAATCTAAATCAAAATTATGTGTAATGCTGTTCGTTTTGATGGGCTTGATTATTTATCGGACCTCTTCGTTTCCATGGTAGCTTTAAATGGGCTTACTGGCTAATTAGCTCATTTCATTTCCTTTTAAAAAGGATTGCAATTATTATTATCTATGAGTCTGTAGGATAATAATCAATCTATAATGATTGTTAGTATAAGGAAAATTAGAAGAACTCAACTCCAGTCGATAAATTATTGTATAAAAGAACAAAAAACATATGAAACTATTCACTATGAGTCTATATAAGATTTCACGTAAATAACAACTAAATTTTAAAACTATATGAAAAAAAACAAAATGCAAAACTTACAGAATCTAATATATTCGAGTAAAAAACAAATGATATATTCGAATCTAATGTTCTGAATAATTAAATTAAAAATATTTGGTTTAATAAACCCGCGCATTGCGCGGGTTCTCTCCTAGTAAAACATTAAAACAGAGAATTCTACTCACAGATTAAGCATAAATTGGCAGAATGCTGTAGAGCAGATAATCGCCATTCAAAATCTTCAATGAAATCTACGCTAAACCGAAACCCTAGGGATTTGAAGTCTTTAAAACTGAGTTAGAGGATCCAAAAACATGTGCCATTAGCTTTTGTGAAACGAGTGGTCACTAGACGAATTCTGATCACACGCCATGGAATCTGCATACGTCCACAGAACTATCTATGATGACTGATTCCTCAGTTGCATCACTAACAAATCGGGAATTATGTGAAACGGTGTGATGTTATTTTGGGATCCACCGGAATTGTCACGTTGATCTGAACTTCTATCGAATCTGGTTCTTGTAAGCTATTAGTGTATAGTTTGGTTTAGTCCGGTTTACCTTTTCTTAATTGTATTTTGGTTTGGTTTAGTAGATAGATTAAGTGTATATAATCTCTTGTAAACATTTCTTTACAGATAAGAAATAGAAAACCATTTCACAGATATCCTTGTTCTACGGATCTATTACGGTATCAGAGCCCAAGGTTAAGCCCAACAAGCGATTTCCCACAAAGAAAAAACGGTTTCCCACATTGAAAGTGGCCCGTATAAGTGGCTCGTCTTGGTGTGGTATTTCCGAGATGATGGTGCGTTGTCCCGTCCTCATCTCGAGGTGGCCTATTAGAGTGAGAAAGTCCCACATCGAAAGTGGGAGCCTTTCTTCACTAAGCTCATGATAAAACTTAAAACGAAAAAGCAAACTGAGTTATGTCTCTTTGTAGATTAAGAAACTGAAAGGCCTGAAGCAAAACAAAGATATACTCCGTATATAAATTAGTGTTTCAAGAGTATCAAGAGAAGGCGTGTGATTAGTGTTTCAAATTTTGAATCTCATTGAGATTACCGTTAAGATTTGTCTACCGTTAACGTTGAACCCCGTATGTAACGGCCCTCAGATTAATGCGTAAAGTCTTGAACGGGCCCAATTAAGTTTCCTTAGTGAATAAATATGGTTTACAATCAAGGAGTTTAACTAGTTCCGCTGTAGCACACAGGCTAACTGCTTGGGTTCGAATCCCGGCAGCGGATTTCCCTTTTTAAAAATTTCGTTTTTTACGAAAGCAAGAATGCCACGTTTATATTTATGTGGACTTATTAATCTACAAATGTTTTTGCGGAAATTTGAAGAGTAAGAGTATCGTTTGAAACTAGACTAGCTAGGCAAGTGAGGGTGGACACTACCAAGATCATGTACTAAGGCCGATCCTCCGGAAGCTTTGTCCCAATCAACTTTTGCGCAATTAGCTGGAGATAAAAAAAAATATTGATATAAGAAATAAGAAAATTAATTATGAGATGTGGACTAATTATATAGATGAAAATGATAAGAGTTTAGCACAGTTTTTGTTGTTGTTGTTGTGTTCTTATTTTGGTAAACATAAGGAGGACCATTCTAAGAACACATTCAATTGCAATAGACCACTGGCTCTACGAGTCCAAATTCACCGTTCATCAAACGTCCTTGATTATCTATCTTTCTAGAATTGTTGTGTGATACAAACAGAGAAAAACAAAAACAGAAAAAGAATGAGAGTGAAATAGATTTGCAGATCGTACGAGTGAGAGAGAGAGAGAGAGATAATCAAATTTTAAGAATATAATTAGAGAGAAAGAACAGGAAATGGTACAGACAGTAGGGAGAGTTTTGTCAGAACCCCGTATATGTACGGACTGCTGTCAGATTAATGGGGAGAGTTTTGAGCATTTCCATTTAATTGTCTTTCCAGCAACTAATCCATTTTTTTATTTTCTCCATCAGTCACTGCATTGTCTCTGTTTCAAACTGCAACGATCGCTCTTCTTCTAATCGCGTTTCTTCAAAACGCTGCGGCTGAGAAAAGAATTCAACGTATCGTCAAGCATCACGGCGCGGTTGCCACCGATGATGGTCGGTGTTCCGACGCCGGAGTGATGACACTTCGCGGGGGAGAAAACGCAGTTGACGCGGCGGTTGCTGCTGCGTTCTGTCTGGGAGTTTTGAGCCCCGCATCAAGCGGTATAGGCGGCGGAGCGTTTATGCTCGTGAAAGAGGCTGGTGGAAAGGAAATTGCTAATGACTCGAGAGAAACAGCTCCTCTCAAAGCAACCGAGGTAATGTGTTCTTGCTCTCCTACTGTCAAAAGCGTTACTTGAAAACACGTTTGCTTTTAGATAAGCGTTTTGAACAAAAATATTGAGGTGAAGTAGCTTTTTCTTAACGTTTTCTCCTACCAAGTGATGATTTGTTTTGAGCGGTTTTGAGCTTAATCAGCGGTTTTCTTTTTTCTTTAAACTCTTGGTCCTGTTAATATAAGCTTGTATAGTATTCTCCTTAACATTTTATGAATCATTATGTTGCTGTTTTTATTTTATGTAGAACATGAATGGAGGCAAGGATGATCTAAAGAAGCAAGGAGGCTTATCAGTAGTGTCCGGGCTATTCGCCGCTTGGAAACGGCACGGGAAGCTGCCGTGGAAGAAGTTGATCAAACCGGCGGAGAAACTTGCGTCTAAAGGTTTCGAGATATCGAGATACCTCCACATGCAGATGAACGCAACTCGCGGGGCCATCTTAGCGGACAAAGGTCTCTCTGACCTGTTGGTTTCAAACGGGGAGCTCAAGAAACCCGAAATTGGCTTTGACCTTGAGGCAGATCGCAGAGTATGGTCCAAAGGCTTTTTACAACGGCATCGTTGGGGTAAACCTTGTGAGGGATATCAGTGAATCCGGGGGGATTATAACGCTGGAGGATTTGCAGAGCTATAGGGTTAAGGTTAAAGAGCCTTTATCCGCAGACATTCTCGGGTACAGACTTCTCGGTATGCCTCCTCCTTCATCCGGTGGTGCTGCGATGATGTTGGTATGTTTGGTTCATTTGAATTTGATCAGATCTTAGGGTTACAGATTTTTATCTAGTTTCTTGTGTTGCAAGGTTTTGAGAATTCTTTCTCTTTATGGGATTCCGTCCGGAGTCTCAGGGCCTCTCGGGGTTCATAGACTAGTTGAGGCCTTGAAACACGCTTTTGCGGTGAGGATGAACCTCGGGGATCCGGATTTCGTTGATGTTACTAAGGTTGTTTCGGATATGTTGTCTCCAAAGTTTGCAAAAGGCTTGAAGAAAAAGATAAACGACGAGAAAACCTTTGATCCAAAACATTACGGCGGCAAGTAAGCTTTTAGCCAGTGATGACAATCGCAGATGATTCCTCAAAGTTTGAATTTATAGATCTTTCTTTGTCCAATTCGTAGGTGGAATCAGATTGAAGATCATGGGACAAGCCATTTGTCGATCATAGATAGCGAGAGGAATGCTGTTTCGATGACTAGTACAATAAACGGTTACTTTGGGGCATTGGTTCTATCTCCACGCACCGGAATTGTTCTGAACAACGAAATGGATGAGAACCAATGGTAATCGAACTGTGCCGCCACCGGCACCTGCTAACTTCATCCGTCCCGGGAAACGACCTTTGTCCTCTATGACCCCCACCATTGTACTCCAGGTTAGAAAAAACCCCTATTACTTGTGACACACGAAACTCTTAATTGGCGGTTTTTTCATGCGTTGGTTAATGCAGGATGGTAAAGTGACAGCCGCGGTGGGTGCGAGCGGAGGAGTGAACATCATCGCCGGGACAATCGAGGTTTATTTTTTCCTCAAGATGGATCCTCTTTCTGCAGTCTTGGCTCCAAGAATCTACCATCAGGTTTTTTTTTTGCGCTCCTTTTGTTTCATCTCCCCAACATTGAACAACACTTTGTTGTTCTGTACTTAAAGATTGCTTTTTGTAATTTCATTTTCAGCTGATACCAAACGTAGTATCGTATGAAAATTGGACAACAGTGTTCAATGATCATTTCGAGATTACCAAAGAGACGAGAGTTGTGTTGGAGAAGAAAGCTCATGTACTAAGGCCGATCGTCGGAGGGACTATTTCTCAGTTTGTAGTTCAAGAATCCGGAATGAGTGAGCTTGTGGCGGTAAGTGATCCAAGAAAAGGAGGAACCCCATCAGGATATTGAGATTGGATGTGTTTATTGCGTCGAGCTTTATAGAGCTTCGTACCATTAAAACGATAAATAAATGTTCTGAAATGCTAGTCAAACGTTTAAGAACATATCTATACACTTTTCCGTTTTCTCTTGTTTGTAAGAATCGTGGATTTAAACCGTTTGACCAAAAAAGAAAAGACTAATAGAAAACCAAAACCAAAGTAGTCCAAACTGCTTCTTGAAAATATCTTATGTTTTGGGAAGTAACACCAGACATAAATTTTATTTTTAATTTCAAAATCTTAAAATGTCATTTGTGTTCATAAGAATTCAACAAAATAAGTTTTGATTTTGTTCTATAGAATGTGTTTTGTTTATTTATAAAACTATGTGACAATATTTATTTTCTTATAGAAATTTATATCAAGTTTGGAGATTTCTTGCTTTGAGATATTTGTAAGGAATACAAGAAAATAGCATTTGTTGTAAAATTTTGCAACAAACGGCCATGAATTGTTTTCATAAAATTAAACTACCGGTAATATTTAGTTTGGTCATTGTAAGATCATATCGATCGAAACTGAATTTCACTGATCATGCTCTAACTGACATAAACAAGTATCCAAGAGAAGATAATCAGATACATGTTTACATATGAGAAGAGATTTAAATCAGTGACATGTTTGTTTATCCTTCATAACATTCGCACATATAATGACCGGTGTAGCCTTGACAAGAGCCACCGAGAAAACCTTGACCACTACAGTAAATAGCACATTCACTTTTTATGTCCTTGCTATTTGGATCCGGGCATGGTCTCCCCGTTGGGTTTTGTGCTTCTCCAAACTCTATAGTTTATGTCAAAATGTCTGATTGTTGAGAAATGATCATTCACGTAAGAAAACAGATACTCCGTAAGTGATAATGTGTTCGAGTTCATGGAACGTGAAAGTTTTGGTCATTGTGTTAAAATTTTGTTGTGATTGAGCGTGTGTTGAGTTGTTCTTTTGTGTTTGGAAGTGTGTTTGTGTTTTGTGTATTTTGAGCGTGTGTTTTACTGTCGCGAAAACTGTAACTGGTCCTAGAGAGAAGCTAAACCAGAAGCTAAACTGTAACTGGGCATTCCATTGAAAACTGATTTCCTGTAACCAGTTTCAAATTTTGGATCACGGTTGAAACATATGATGTGATATTGTGATACTGCTCGTTAAGAGAACTTTGAGCATGGACTCATGAGTTATATATATCATGAAAACTTATAACATATATATATATATATATATATATATATAATTGTATGACATGAAAATGTTCATAATCGTTTGGAAGTTTTAACATTTGTGTAAACTGTTTAGCTTTTTAATTTAACTAACATGAATAGTCACTTTTTTTGGTTACATAATTCAATTATAATTTGGATCATTCTGTTCGAATTTATTTTGTAGACACATGATGTCTCCATTCTGTTCTTGAGAACAAAATGGTATTGTAAGTTTGTAACCAAGGTAGCATCTGAACAATATAATTTAAATATGTAATACAAAACTATTATTATTATAGGTTGATGGTAAAACATACAATAATACAAACACAATTTTATATTGTCATGTATTATTATATATAGTTTTAGAAGCGTTTGATATTAGAAAAAGAAACATCTGAGTTTTTATGGGTGGAATCTTGGATTTGCTGGAGGATACCAAGATTCGGTTGTACCATCTTGGTTAGATTTCATTGAGAAAACTTGTGGTTTATGGATTGGTTTAGAATCTGATTGGAAATCTGGACTTGGTGGAGGATACCAAGAGTCGGTCCCAACACCTTGGTTAGATTTCGTTGAGAAAATGTGTGGTTTATGGATTGGTTTAGAATTGGATTGGAAATCTGGACTTGGTGGAGGATACAAAGAGTCGGTCCCAACACCTTGGTTAGATTTTGTTGAGAACACTTGTGGTTTATGGATTGGTTTAGAATTGGATTGGAAGTTTGGACTTGGTGGAGGAAAATAAGAAGCGTAGGCAAGACCATCTGCAAGGAGAAGCAAAGTGAACAACATCGTTATTGCATAGTGGTTCATGATATTGGTCATCTTAATTTCTGTGTGTGACTGAATATGCTGATCCTTGTTTCCTTATTTATACTGTTGTGAACTTCTGACCCAAAAGAGAAAGCAAAATAGTATTTATTAAAAAAAAAATTGTTTACATTTGTCAGAAAAAAAGGAGATATTAATACTCTTTTTGTTTTTTTAATGAATATTCTGAGATTTACTAAACAGTTTTTTATAAATTTAAACCAATAAGAATTCAAAAAGTATAATAAATGTCTCTTGAAAAATGAAAAAGTTTATCAAAAAGTTAAAACATTTATCTGTATGAAACAATAAAAAATGGCTAGAAAATTCATTAAAAAGAAACAGAGAGAATGTCATTTGTCATGCTACCAAAAATTGCAAATACTTTATCAAAAAAAAAAATGGTATCTCATATTTTTGTGCATGTTAGAGAGAATCTCGTGCATGGACTCATGAGGACTATGTGTCACCAAAAGTTAATAGATATATATATATATAGGAAATGTTCATAAAAGCTTATAGGAGTTGTGACATTGTGTATACTGTTGTGTTTTTATTTTATATTAAAAATGATGATATGAATTAATCTATTACTCTTTGTTTCACAATATAAAGGGTTTTAGATTTTTTTTTTTTTTTTTATTTTAAAGTGTTTTCAAGTTTTCATGTAAAATTAAATATGTTTTTGTTGCTTTTTGAATTTTTGAGTTTTGAAAATTATTTTTTTATTGGTTGAACTATTTTGTAATTGATGATAAAGCATATTATATTTTTTAAAATACAATAATTAAATGAGTTATTAATTTGTGTACAAAATCCTTAAACCTCTTAATTTTTTTTATTGGTACAATAGACCTAGGTTTACCGGGTTTTTCTTTTGAAGTGTATATATAAGGTTCATAAGGGTTTGTAAAATTTAACAAGTTAATAAGAAACCCTAACATGGTATATTGCCTCAATCTCTTTTCTCGATCGTTTTGGTCGCTCTAAATCACAACATCTAGGGAAGAGAAAGAGGTCTCATACTAGAACACGCTAATCCCATTATGTTGAGTGTAGAGACATGCAAGACTGAGATGTAGTATCACAAAATGCACATCCAAAGGTTTCTGACCCAAAACCAATTTTGATGGGGAGAACTTTTAGTTACTTGTTGGCTTTATGCGAATTAATGCTTTTGTGTATGAACATTATCTACTGGATGTTCAAATGTATTCATATTCTTACAAACATGATTTTTCTCACCAAAGACTTAAGATGTGATTCACTACATCTAAGTAATCTTGCAAACTTCAGGTTGCAGATTTATAATATGAATACATACATAAAATTTCTTTAGGGATGATTAGTCCACGAATGGTTATTAAACCACATATGTTCTTGTATACTCTCTAGAAAATGAATAGACTCAAAATCTATTTTGGCTAGTGATAATTATTGTATTATCATAATCTCATATGATAAATATCACATTAGAAATCATTAGAAGAATTTCTAGTTCTTCAACAAATGTCTACATGTTGTATTTTATTTCGCATAATATCTTGAACTGAATGGTCTAACCAGTTCATGCCAAATTATGTTATATTCGGTAAACTTCTGGTTTACTATATAACCAAAATATATGATTCTTTGATAGGATCATTTATCTTTGAATATAATCTTCTGGATTATGAATTGGGATTCTTACACTTTTCTTGATCAATGATCAAGTTTATCTTGAGTGTGAACATAATCTTCTAGATGTTCCATTTATTATTGATTGTGGGATTCATCCATTCTCCCCCTCGAGATGATGATACTTCAGGTTCATCTATCTCGAATTGAATTCCAATATAAAATCAATAACCTCTTTAACCATTTACTTGTATATCACATTCACTTCAGGGAATTGATCATAACCAATTGGATATGATTTTCATCAATAATTCAATATTTTCTCAAAATAATGTAAAATTGTCTAAGATTATTTTGTCTACAGGACAATATGACAATATTATTTAGAGTATGCTTTTTAGCATCTCTATTGATATACATTATCTTCTATATAGTTAAAAGTTATTTACAGACTTCAGGTCTTGTAATCTTTCATGAAAATTTAAGATATCATATAGAGAATAATAAAATAAAAATAAAAATAAGTATATATATAATAAATAGAGCATAATCAAAATAAATATTAATAATATATACCATTTATTATCACTTCTGGTGACAAATTTAGTTTAAAATAAAATTAGAAAGATAAGATATAATTTGAATAAATTCTCAAATTATATTATCACTTCAGGTGATAATGTTTTTTGTGTCTGCAAGACAACAAAATTTTCTTGATGTATTTTAACATC